TAGGAGCACAGTGTATACAACTGAGTTTAGAAAAGTATATTAATGGAAGTTAATTCCAAACAGGAAGATATAGGATCCAGAGATACAGTTTGGGATAACATAAGCCTGGTGCTGCTGTAATACAAGGAATTTGCTCAGAAAAGGTGACGTGAAGGTCTGGTCATGAGGTGATGAAGGTAAGCAGAAGAGGCCCAAGGCAAAGGAGGCCAGCAGGACACGCTCGGGCCTCTGTAGATCTGGGTCTATGAGCCCCAAATGAGAGAGAATACATGATCAATTCTTTTTCTTGGCCTGGGTTACCTCATTTAATATGATCACTTCCAGTTCTATGTATTTACCTGAAATTTTCAGGTTTTCAGTTTTATTTACAGCCAAACAGAGTTGTGGAGCCCAGTCCCAAATGATAAGCATAACCCCTGCACCCAAGGCCCAGGGATCATGGAGGGAGAGGGCCAGAGCGACAGTAAGAGCCAGGAGAGAGGAGTTCTCTGAGAGACTGTTTCCTGGTAGTGTTAGAAGCTGCATCCATAAAGTCTCAGCAACATGACTGCCCGAACATGAGCCAGCCAAGGAGACAGCAATGGACATGCCACAGTGGATGGAGAAATACCACAGCCTCAACTCTACACCAGGAACTACAGGCAATTGGGGATTCTGAGGACAAAAGAAAGTCTTCCCTAGAGAAGACACTGCAATTAGTTATCCAAGCTCAAATGGTCAGACCTGAAAATTAATATACAAGTAATGTTGAGAAGGCACATTTAGGAATATATGTATATACATATATGTGCATAGCTGCAACTAATGAAAAAAGAGGCAATGAATTTGAAAGAGAGCAAGGAAGAGTATATAGAAAGATGTGGAGGGACAAAATGGAAGGGGGAAATAATGTCCTTATATTATAATCTCAAAAATAAAAGAAACTACTACCAGTAGTGATGATGATGATGATGATGATGAGGATGATGATGATGATGATGAGGAGGAGGAGGAGGAGGAGGAGGATACAGGAACTAAAGGAATACTCAGGTGGGAGAAATAGTCTTCCCCAGGGAAGAACAAACTATTTAGTTATCTAACACCAGATGTCCTGCTCTGAAAACATATAGAGTAATATCATACACACACACACACACACACACACACACACACATTATACCATCGCTAATTGGTGAAAAAAGTCATGAATTTGTAAGAGAACAAGGAAAGGTATATAGGAGGGTTTGGAGGGAGGAAAAGAAAAAGAGACATAATATAATTATACTATAACCTCAACAATAAAAGAAGGTTTTTAAACGGCCATAAAGTAATTGCTAGTGGCAGAAGAGTTTCTACCTCTGGCCTCCAGGGAAGACGCTCTCATCATGGCGTCCACTGCAGCAACTGAAAGGGCATATCCAGAGTGCCCGACTCATAAAGTCCCAAGGCTAGAAGACACCAGAGGGGTTTTATTCGGAGATGTTTATCCATCTGCACTTTAATAGGGGGCATGGTACAATTACACACACTCCTGACTTTTAATACAACCACTTAGTGACTTCTCGGGCACTGGTTACCTCAGCTGTTAAGTGAGGGAGGTGAACCAGATGATTCCTAAGTTCTTATCTAAACCTTAGTAAAAGCTTGCGTCTGCCTGTGTGTTCATTAATCCACTACATTCTAACACTCCACCCTGCAGCCTTGTCCAATCCGACAGCACTCCACTGCATGCCTGATATTCTAGCACGCCCCTGTAGATTCTAACACTCCACTGTAGCCTTGCTTCTTCTCACACTCCAGTGTGCCCTTGTACACCGAGTCAGCTGTTACAGCTATACTGCCATTGTGAGCTGGACAATTAGAGATTGGAAGCGGAAGTAACTCATGGTACTTCTTACTTTTCCCATTACATTAGTACCACACCACCTATAGAGACAAGAAGCAATAAGCACAAACAGATGCGTGGTGAATCGTTCCTGGGAGGCTGTGTCCTCATAGAAAAGGAAGGAGGCTGTGAGCGGCTGCTTTGCGGCCTTCCTCCCACACGGCTACAGGAGCTGAAGGGGGGAGGTCACATGGAGAACAGCTCATCCTAGAGGGGGCTCTGGTGAGAAGTGCGAGTGTACTGCTGTGGTCTGTGTGGCCTAGAGCACAGCACAGCTGGCCAGGATGTCTGTTCTATACCTAACACTTCCAGAGATGGTGCTAACTCTGGGCTAAACTGTTTCTCCTGCTTCTGCTTTCTCTGGTGACAGCAACGGTACTCTATGTCTCGTCTCCCTCAAGAATGAGCTACGTATAGGAATAAGATATATGACAATTCTGAGCTGTGGGAGGAAAGTACGTCAAGTGATGCTGAGCACCGTGATGAGAAAGGACCGGGCTCAGCTGCTCACAATTACTCAAGGTGCAACTAGACCCACAGAGGAGGGAGGGTCACCAGCCAGGAAGAGGGATGGGATGACTGACAGCAGACTCCAGTGCACTCCGCTTTCTCATAGCTGGTGCAAAGTGCTCAGCCACATGGGCAGGAAGGGCTCAGCCTGGCCAGCACTCCTAGGCTGGGAACAAACGTGTTTCCTGTCTTCCTCTTTATTTCTTCCTCCTCCGTGTCCCCTTTCCTCTGTCTCTGCCGCTCACACAGCCCGAGTTTTTACATTGACAGGTTAAATATTCCAAACCTACAAATACATGCAACTCTCCAGTTGCTTAGTTACTTGACAAAAAATGGCTCAGGTTGCACAGTGAGTGTGGCCAGAGGAGACTCTGAGTTTCTGCTCCCAACCAGGCTCAGACTGGGGTCCACGGAAAGGCCTGGGCAACTACCACCTCAGCTGACAGGAGACCGCTTGCTTAGTTTCTTTCTGTTCCTGTTGATGATTTTAAAAAAAATGTCCTGACAAAAGGAACATTGGGAAGGAAGGGGTTATCCTGGCCCAGGGTTCAAGGGTAAAGTCAATAACAGTGGGGACATAAAGGAGGGAGACACTTACTGCAGCGGGTCACCCTGAACTCACAGAGGGACTGTGACTAATACTTGGCTTGCTTTCCCATTTTCCACAGGCCAGGCAGAGGGAAGGGTCCAGCCCAGAGTTAAGATGAGTCTTCCTAGGGTAATTGGCGCAGACATGCCCAGAAGCCCATCTCCCAGGTGACTGTAGACCCTGCCAGATTAGGTGTGTGGAGCCCCCCACCCCCCACTCCTTCCAGAAACAACAGGAACACATATTATATTATCTATATAATATATAGTATATTATATAGTATGTACTACTCATGTATCCTGTGTAACAGGGAGGGAAGGGTGCATACTCTGTGCCAATCACAATAAAGGGCTCTCAGGTCATGCGTCCTTGAGCCTTAATGCTCATTTCTTAGGAAGATCCTCCTCTGAAGGCAGAGGACAGACTAGAGATGGAAAGGAAGAAGGATGTGACAAGGACAAGACATCAAGCTACACCCTCCCCACCCTGTAAAGAACTGACAACAGACCAGCTAAGAAACAGTCTTCAGAAGTAAAGGTTGGATTCTGTATGTAGTTATGGTTAAAAAAAATTTTTCTCAAATAATCAAATGCAGCATCCTAGGAACACAAGCTGGCTTTGAAGGATGGACCACAGATACCTACATCAACAGTCCTACCTGTGGCTTCTGTTCCAAGCATGGTGCCGAGTGCTTATACACACAGAAAACCCTGGCAACCAGCCAAGTATCGTTATATCTAGAGCAGTGGTCTCAACCTTCCTAAGGCTGCAATCCTTTACTGTCTTGGTGTGGCGACCCCCAACCATAAAATTATTTCATTGCTACTTCATAACTATTATTTTGCTACTGTTATGATCATAATGTAAACATCTGATACGCAGGACATCTTATATGGGACCCGCAAAGGGGTCATCACCCACTGGCTGAGAACTGCTGTTCTAGAGGAAGACAGCAGGGTTGGAAACCAGTGCCCAGAGAGGACTAAGTCAAAAGGAATAGAAGCAAGATCCAAACATCGATCTGTCTGCCCCCGAGACCTGGGCTTATCAGATTATGTTATACAGCCTCCATGTTTCTCTTTTGAAGATTTCACAGAAGTTCCCTCTTCTGGGCATTCTGACTTAAGAGGGAAAGAAGGCAATAGCAAGAAAATCAGCACAGGTTACAGAAGCTATATGTGAAAGAAGAGAATCATGTCAGAGAATCCCATCATTTCTCAAACTGTGGTGCTTGCTTGAGTAAAACCATGCTACAGCTGCAGTGTGTAATAACTGCACCGGCATCGTGCTCCGTGAACTGCTATAGAAAGGTCAGGATGGAGAAGCAGGCCTAGGAGCTTCCAAGGGCCTGAGTGCAGTGTGACTGAACACTCAGACCCACACTGTGGGAAGGCAAGCTTAGCTGTCTGGACCTCAGTGAAGGACCACATGGGCCAACTGCAGCTCTTCCCATCTTACCCACAGGTGCCTTGGTCCTCTCTGCTCACCCCTGTGATCCTGGGTCTTCCCCTCAGACGCTTGCCCCTTGTTCCAGTGATCACAGTCCAGGCAGACAGCAGAGGGGATCTGACTCATCTGGAGCACATCAACTCCTTGTACCACGTTATTTACATTCATGCAATGCAGTGTCTTGAGATCACATTTGGTAAAACTTTTCCTTAAAAACACTTTTATTCTCTAATCCTCTTTTTATTGGTTAGAAGCAAAATAAAATGGATCATATATTTAAGGACAGAGACAAGGAAGAAAAAAAAAAAACAGACATACCATTCTAGAAATGTTTAGCAAGCAAATACCCCGAGAATATTTATCCACGTGATTACCACAGGATATGTGAGGGGAAACGTGAAAGCAATTTTCTTGGCTATCATCACTTTAATATGAAATTTAAACCCAAACACAGCTGCAGGCACATTTCTCTAATGGGAGGAGCACTGTCCTGGGGGGTGAGGGGAGACAGGATTCTTACCTGGCATAACTGTAGCCTGCTGGGCAGCAGCAGTAGCACTGTCCTCAGGGGGGCGACAGGATCCTTACCTGGCATAACCGTGGCCTGCTGGGCAGCAGCATCTGTGCTCACACAGAGCCGTCCACCTTTAGCCAGCCTATCACACAGCAGGGTAATGTGCTTCTTCAGCCGGCTGGTATCCTTGGGCATGCTCAGTTGGCTGCTGAGGTTCAAAGCCTGCTCCTTGGAACTCTTTGACAGGCAGGTTTTCAAAAGGTGGACAACGGCAGCATCCGCAGTTTCTTCCCAGCCCTGCATGCAAAAGCCAATTTGGAATTTGTATACAAATGACAGCAAGCCAAGGGGGCCTTTTTCCTGCTAAAGAGGCTTTAACAAGGTTTTCAGGTGGTGAGCTACCAATTCTCGACAGCCTCCTCCAAGGATTCAGGCAATTGGATGAGCTGGCATATGAGAAGTGCTTTGTCCTATACCAAGAATAGAATAACCAGTAATAAGATCTATCCCCAGTGCAGACCTGTTTGATGATCTGGTGGCTCAAACAACAAGGAATGTCCCTTCTTTTGCCTTACAATCTATAGAAAAGGATCTGGCCCTTACAGAAGCCCTAAATGTGTCGGGAGCACCTGGGGTGGAGAGAAGAAACTGGCATCTCAGCTGCTTGAGCCATAGTCTTGTGGCTGGGGACAAAAGCTGACAGTGCTAGTCTCCAGAGTGACTTGGGAGCTCTAGCCTCCAGGTTGATTTGGGAGCTCTAAGGGTCTATCTAGTTCCATTTCAGTATCACATGGCAAAGAAAAAAATGGCACAAAGAAATGGTCATTAGTCCCACTTTTCTTCAGAGCAATTGTATGAGCTACAGTAAAGACCCAGGGAAATGTGTCGTCACCTTAAAGTGGAGGCTGCAATTCTAGGAACATCACTGGTGCACTGGGACCTCAGCATCAGCACAGAAGACAGCAGCCACTGTATGAGCCCAACACAGACCCCACAGGCCGGTTCAAGAAGGAAAGGATGCATAGAAGGAAGAGCCAATCAAAGACCTCCACTAAGCATCTTAAGGATAACTGAGTAAGATCCTCCTGACAGACGGCGGCATAAGGCATTAAAGGTAGGACACTTGCCTCCTGTTTCCTACGAATCCTACCTACAAGTCTGACCTCTAGTCATCTCTGCTCTATTGGTAGCTGAACTGTGCTGTGGACTCACAGTGACTATACAGCCCAGGCTCCTTCCTCATTGACATGTTCTTCCTTCTAGGCACACAGAGCTGGTTCTTAAACCGAGGTCCAGACTGTCTATATATCTACCAGAGAGCTTCCCACTGACTGCCACAGACAGTAAACCAAGACTTTTGATTCCATTGACCCATTTCTGTCTCCCTGTAATAGGTAGCACCAGGCAAATTAGGAAAGAGAAAAATGAACCTGAGAACCCTTTCAAGACCTTAACAATCTTTAAAACAGCTTCCTGCTCCAAATCACTATAACACAGTAAACCACTAGCTGCTACAAAGACATCTTTCTACTAGCAAAAATCTACATTAGACTAATATCTAAAATTGTCTTTAGTAACTGTCTCAGAGGACATTTTTCTAAGTTGCTTTTGGAGCCTTTGACAAAGTCCTCTGGAGTGTAAGAGTGAGTTGTACAGTACCCGTTAGCATCTATATACTCTGTGGACATTGCAGCATTAAAGCAGTTCTTCTGTGTCATTTAGACTGATACTCTTAGCAGGTCACTGTATTTATAAACAGACTACATTAGCTTATTAGAAAACAAAAGCAGACAGTATTTACTCAATACAGAAGGACTCCTACATAATTTCTTTTCCTGCTGCCAACTTGCAGAGCAAGTAAAAAACCATGTCATGTACTGTCGGAACATGGTCCAAGAATGGAGAGTCTTGTGAGGGGAATTCTGAGTGTCTGAGAGAAAACTCCAAGAAAACAAAACAGGAGTTGTGTGACCTCAGTTTCTTAAAAAACACAGAATTGTTCTTGGAATATGCTTTCGTGCTCCTCCCAGGTACAGCAGATAGTGAGTTTGCTTTAGATTGTCCATTACAACTGGCTACTGCTATTCCATAGCCATGTGCAGCAATGTGGGGCTTGATTTGTGACTGGACACATTACTCATGTGACTGTTCCCAGCCCTCAGAGCAGTGGTTCTCAACTTGTGGGTCAGGACCCCTTTGGAGGCTGCATATCAGATACCCTGTATATCAGATATTTGTACTACAATTCAGAACAGTAGCAAAATTACAATTATGATGTAGCAATAAAAAATGTTATGGTTGGGATTACTGCAACATGAGGAACTGTAGTAAAGGGTCCAGGTATTAGGAAGGTTCTTAACCACCGCCTCAGGGTGTAAGTAGTCTAGTGCTCTGAATAAAGTTGGCTACTACATGAGTTTTAGTTTGATAAATTTTTAGGTTCCACTCTCACAGATTCCTCTGCCAACTAGAATAGTAAGCAATATATAGATATTTGGTATAGATATTTAATACAATGGGACACAGTGACAATACTTAGGTTGCTAATAAAATATCTAGAGGGCCTAAGCTGCTGCATAAATTCAAATACAATAATAAAAGAGCGTGCTTATGAGATAAGAGATGGTGAAGAGTCTGTTACACAAAACTCAAGGTGATGATACATGATGAAACAGAAAGCATAACTACCTAATAAAATATAAAGCAAAACTTTTCAGGAAGTAGAAACTAAAGCATGGGGAGCTGGAAGGTGAGCTGCTCTAACACCTCTCTGGTGCCACTGCCCCCGTTACCAGCACTGAAAACACACGCTGCCCACCTGCAGATGCCAGGCTCCTGTTCTTTATTCAGACGAATAATATGACATGTATTTCAAGAGTGAAATGCAATGTCGATATGAGGAACTCCGGCTAAAATTTCTAGAAGAGAAGTAGGTACTTGCCCTTTTGTGAAACTACCTTTGGCTTTAGTTCTCAAGTCTATATCTTTAACATTTGTATTTATTTTTAAAAATAATATTTATGATTAAATGCTACATGATGTTATATACTGTGAAATTAAAACATGAAAGAGACTCAGACATGGCTCTTATCTGTAAGTACTTTGCATCACTAATAATAGAAAAATATTAAAACTAAAATGATGTAGAAAATAACAGAGAGAGGGGTAGAGTGAAAGTACTTTAGCAGGATTTGTTTTGTCCTCTAGTCCTCTTCTAGAACCAAAATCCTCAAATAAGTTATTGCAGACAGAAAGGGCTTTCTTCTAACCACCATATGTGCTATGTACATGTGCACATACACACATACACGCACACACACACACACACACGCACACACACACCACAAATATTATTTATAAAAACCTTTAAGACTCATGTGGTGTCTTGTTATTTACCAAAACTATTCCCATATTACAGCGAAGCAAGAAATACTATGAGCCTTAATTTAGTGAAGCAAGCGTGAGTCATTCAGAAAGCAAGGTTTCTACTTTTGCAAAGCTAAAGTAAATGCTTCCTCAGACATAAGGCAAAAAGATCCCCACAGAGAAAGCCCATCACCACCACACAAGTGCACACATTCCTACCATATGCAATCAACACAGTGAGGTCAGCAAGGCTGCCCATCTCTAAAACCAGTGAGATCTGGCTCATTCCAGTTCTGCTCAGGACTGTTGCCGGAACAGTCAACACCGATTTGCCTAAAAGGAACTGCTGACTTTGGACATTTATTTCTTATTATTTATTATTGATGTCACCTTCCAAATGACATAAATAATAAAACATAAAAGTCCTGAAATCATGATGAGAACAGTCCAATGAGACTGTGTGCAGCTTAGTTGATAGAAACTAAACAAACAATGTAATTTTTGGTTACTTTCTGCTAAAAAAATGTAATTTGGATACATATATACATGTATAGATAATTTATGAAGGAAGAAAACCTTAGTACATGTATTGCTTTATTCATTTATTGTGCTTAAGTGGATCATTTATAGTAAGGTCACAACCAAAGTTGAGAGTATGTAGTTATTTAAAAAAAATCCTAAGAAAGGATATGCCTGAAACAGAAGCCGCCTCCTTCCTCAAGTAACATCATCCAATCTAGTCTGGGAGCATCCCCTCCCAGGGACCTGTAGAGGGACCTACAAGTCCACTCACACCCTGAGCTGTTCGTTGACGAGGTCAGACAGAAGCTACTGTACCAGTGTTCAGATGGAGAGGTCTGTGTTTGGAGTCTGATAACATGCATAAGGACTCAGAATCAATTAAGCATTTTGCTGTAGAAGACACCTGAATTCTCATATGACATCATATTCTATTCAACACATCTATGCTTCTCAAAAATTAGTATTTATTTTGCTTCAGTATTTCATAATTATAAACATTAAGATACCAAATGGACTCTGCCAGTCTCTTAGTTCACTAACTTAGATTTCTGATGCAGGACCAGCTTTACTATATATGTTTTCCAAGAGTAATCTATAGAAAGACGGTATCAGAAATAAGCAGCTATGTCCACTTTATTAAATATTCATTTACCATTTATTCCCAAATATGGCTAAGGCAGAAGAAGTGAAGTGTGCTTAATAATGGCTGTCATTTGTGCATATTTATCATTGGTAAGATAATATATCTTGAATTTATCTCTGTTATTAGGTTACGTGAGTGGGTAGATACTTGCATATACAGCCGAGCACAGATTAACAACTGAGATACACTCTGAGAAGTGTGAAATATATCATAAGATATGTCACTGTATGAGGATCCCAGACTGTATTTACATACAGATAGCTGTCATGTGAGTAACCTCAACTTTTAAATATTGAATATTTTTAAGTGTTATTTTAAAAAAAATCTTGAAATTAAATAAAACTATCACATGCCACATAGTTAACCAGACCCAAGGTCTATACAACTTTGGTCTGTGACTTTAGGGAGCCATTATCATATATGCTGCTCCATTACCTTTTGTGGTGGTTTGTATATGCTTGGCTCAAAGAGTGGCACTATTAGGAAGTGTGGCCTTGTTGGAGTGGGTATAGCCTTGCTGGAGTAGGTGGGACCTTGTTGCAGAAACTGTGTCACTATGGGAATGGGCTCTGTGATTCTCCTCCTAGCTATCTGAAAGTTAGTCTTCTCCTGTTTGCCTTCAGAACAAGAGGTAGAAATCTCTGCTCCACCTGCACGATGGCTGCCTGGATGCTGTCATGTTTCCTGTCTTGATGATAATGGACTGAACCTCTGAACCCATAAGCCAGCCCCAATTAAATGTTGCCCTTATAAGAGTTGCCTAAGT